TATCGGGTAGCAGTCCGGAGTTGTTTTGGCGTTAAACCTTCGGCAATCACCGGTTGGACGCCAGTCGTTTCTATCCTTTTTGGGAACCACGTGCAATGGCTTTGCCCAAGGACTGTTTGACGGTTTGATAATGCTTAGTTCGAGCATGTATTCGAATTCGCTTTTCGCCGTTTTGAGCTTATCGGGGGCTAGACGGCGCGCTTTGGATGCCACAGGTGAACCTGTGGTGGTCATGTGGTGCATAACATTGCGCTGGTTGTTGCAACCCTGGATATTTCTCCAAAACTGCCTGGTAGGACGCGTCGCCCTATTGTTTAGTTCTGACGATGGCTAAACTCGGACCTACATAGGTGGTGCCGCCAATAGATAACTTTGTGTTGTTATCTATCAGCCGTCGACGGCTAGCATCTACCAGTAGATCGTAATGGTTTGACAAATCTATGCCAATGATGGGCATAGAGACGTCGGCCAGGAAGAAGATCCAGTGGATAGGTTTACGTAAACCTAAGTTGGGGTAGGCATACCGTCTCCCAAAAGCCGCGATTGCCTTGCCGTTAGCTGCTTGGGGATCGAAGGATGGGTCGTGATGACGCTCGTTTGTCGGTGTGGAGAGAAGGCTAACTTCCGCAGCGGTGTCGACGAGGTGGCTAACTATCTTTTTCATATCTGCGACGTAGAGCAAACGGCTGATTCCGCCGGCTACGGTTGCCGTGAACACGTGCCGGCGTGACCGTCTCCCGGGTTTGTGTCCTTGTTAAAACTGCATGGTTCCCGACATTTTCTGGCTTCGTCTCTGTAAGTATAATGAAACTGGCACCATTCAGGGTTTTCCAGCCTGTTACGTTTAGTTCTGGGGCAACCATGCGAGTTGCTGAGACGCACTAAGACACGTTTCTGTGGAGTTCTACTTGAACTAGGACTTCGAGATCGTAGCAACGGTTTAACAGGGTTGCACAGCTTGGTCACCTCTGAATCCTGGCCCTCTGGTTTGCCGCGGACAGAACATACGCTGGAGGCGGGTCTGCTAGAGATCTCCAGTACTTTATCTGCCGAGGCTGCCAGGTAATCAAGCGGGACAGACTACAGTGTCATCAACACGGTCTGCACCAGTTGTGGCAGTTTTGAGAGGAATAGTTCTCGGAAAGGGCCGTTGTCGAATGTTCATGCACCGAATACTTCTGGCATGCGTGCGAGGACTTCAGTAGCTGAGTGGCTATCTAGCTCGATGTTACGAAGTAATTCATCTAGGCGCTGGCGATCTGTCAGATCGCTTTTCTTCAACAGTGCGGCCTTAAGAAGTGCATAAGGGTCACTTCCTTCAGAATTAAACATGTGTGCTGTAACATACCTGTTTAATTCTCGCGGTAGTGACCATATGACAGCAAGAAATCGAGAATGAGGATCTGAGACGCCCTGTTCTCGAAAATCGGCCTCGGCATACAGAAACCATGTTTCTGCGTTGTCTGGCCAACATGGCACGAGTTGGATCGTGTTCGTAGTTGGCTTAATATGGATAAGCTAGGGTGTATGGTCGGATATGAGGTGTTGTAAATGGATATATAAACGTTATCAAAATGAAAACAATGTAAAAATTTGAAATAGAACAGGCTCACCAAATCAATATTTATTATCAACCGGGATATGTTATCACTTTGAGGTCATCAATTTAGGAATTGTCCCGGTGCGAACTTGACAGATGCAAGGGCTAATCACTAATAATTCCGACCTGTCATGTACCCACGAATACGGGGCCAAGGAAGATACGATAACGTAGTCGGATGGACGCTACATCCTGATGGCTGACGTGAAGATATCTATTGCAGTTTCGTCCTTTAGTTCAGTTTCTGTTCTGGGTGTTGAACCTGAACTTTGGTCAATCACCAACTTCTCTGGAGGCTTTCAACTTGATTTTGAAAGTAGGCTGCCTGCAATAGATAGCGAGTGGTGCGAACCTACATCTGCTCCCCTTCTTGATCTGATCTTGTGCCCAGTGGGCACCCTCTTGAGATTGAGACGAAGTCGGTCTGATTCTCAGGGTATCCTGGTTTCTGGTGCAATCCACGTCTCTCTGCGAATATCTTTGTGTTTGTACACACTTCCTCCAGTCACCAAAGCATTAAAGGGACATAAGTCTACGAACAGTTCTCTATTCTTATTCACCATTTCAGTGATTGCCGCCCGAACCGTGATTGGTTTTTTCCCCCGTGTTGTGCGCTCCCAGTTTGGCATTCATGTCACCCCACCCACCAGAATTTTGATGTCTGCATCTAGGGTGGGGTCTTGTTCGCCGTCGACTGCAACTGTTCACAGAATTCCTCATTTTTCCCTTGGTTCGCATTGTTTGTAGTTGCGTGGCATTGTATGATTGCAACTTTCCTTCCTTTTGATTTGAATCTCGCTGTCATGATCCTGTAGGGGGAGATTGATTCCCACCGCATGAAGGCATTTGATGCTGTTGGGAACATCGTGGTTGTCAGGTGTGTGACAATGTTGAAGCGGCTTTGTGGCTACCCAGTTAAGAGTTTGGAGAGCCCGTTTCCATTACACCTGCTCCATCAGATTCCTAGCGCTTCCACACCACAACTTCTTACTTCTTTTGCTACCTGGGCAGCCTTGCTAGCTTCAAATATCTTGGGAATATTCCATGTCCCTATGCCTAACTTTGCTTTCATCGGGATAAGAAGAGACTCGTCGGCCAATTGTCTTCCCGAAGGCTCCCACCAACTGGCGTCATTTTGTCTTGCTGGTTCCAGCGAGGATTAAATTTATTTTTATTCGTTACGCTTTTATTCTATTTTGAAGTTTGTTTAGCGGCTGGATTGGTTTCACGGGACGGGACCGCTAGCCCTATGCCCAACCTTCCCTCTTTATTCAAGCTTAGGAGCGGCTAGTAAACTAGTGAGTTAGTAAACTGGGCGGGGTTGACAGTGACGATAAATCACCGTTAAATTTTCTGCGCATCCTTTAGTCTTACGGGTAGTACGCCGGGTAGCTTGTATTAGCCCAAGCAATATGAGGGAATGTAAAGATGCGGCTTCTTTCCGAAACAGCTGGCTGGAGATAGCAACGATAATAATATTTATTTCTGAGTATATAGGCACACACCATTTGTACAGGTACGAATAAGTCTCTATATGAATTACATGTATCTTCATGGAAGGTAATCTCATTCCTAGCTCGTTGCCATCACAAGTTACTTTAACAGACTCCACTCGCTAGACGTCGAGCAAAAAGAATTTATAACGATAATAATAATAATATTTATTCCTGAATTTACAGGCACACACCATTTTTACAGGTATGAATAAGTTTATATACAAATTGTATTTATCATGAAAGGCAATCTGAATCCCTACCCGTTGTCACTATGAGATATAGGTGCTGCATGTTCATATAGTGGAACATCTCAACAGAATAAGTGTGCCGAAAATTTACAAGTTAGACAAGTGAAAGTATTGTCTTCGCACTAACAAAAATACCAGGTTTGTTTCTAGACACTACAGGTATTACCTGGAGAAAAATAAAGCTTGAAGCTAATACTTCAGTTGTAACAGTTTGCACTTTTTGCTTGAGATAATGACGAAAAGTTTATGAAGGAATGTATGCATGAATTGTTTACATATTGTACTTCATCGATGATTCCAGGACTGTATAATTCATGCATGTTAACACCATTCCATACTGCATAGTTTAACCGATCACCGCTCACGAACTTCTGAATGACGACTTTCTGTAATTAGTACAAAGTCATAATGATCAACACTGAACTGAGCATTCCGGAAACTGTCCACGAAAACACGGCGATACCTTTTCATGGGATATTATGATGAGAAGGATTCGGACTTTCTGTTGTAGTGTGGAGTAAGACTTCCCCGATCCACATCGGAAGACCGAAATTCCAAAGCCCTTTGTAATTAATCGCCTTGCTTCGGAGTCTCGAGAAAGGACACGTGGACATACATGCAAACACCAGATTGATTGAAAAGAAAAGGTCCATGGTGTGTGCCCCTCCGGATAGCCAAGGTAGTTATAACAATATGTGAACCGCTGTATTTTGTACACTATGACGCTGGAATGGATTTTCTGTTATTTTACCACCCTTTTCTATTTAGCGAGTACCAAGGACGACCATTCTGGGTGGAAACTGAAAAGTAATTTTTTGCGTCCACTCGTATATACCTTCATACGGCCAGGTTATATCACTAACTGACATGGCATCTTGTAGTGGACTCAGAAATAGCTAACTGAAAAGATTATCTCTGCTAACTACAACTACGAACAGTATTTGAAGAGACAGCACAAGCATCTGTCAAGGCAGATATACACTGGATAGGTCGATAAATGATGATAATATATTCAGACTAAAGTTGATAGGGTACAATATTATTGCACCCAATTAACTGTGAATTCCCACGCAGCACCTAAGTTACAAAAGTTGTTTTCGTTGGAAGCTTGGCATTTCATTTGTGCAACCTTCTGTCTTTACATGTGTCAGGAAAGATGTGAAAAATATAGTAAACGACATGAAGGAATACAATTTCTAACTTGAGGACTTGTGAAAAAGAGCATTTATGTGGTCGCCATAATACACCCTTTGTAGCCGTTCCAGAATGTCTGCTTCTTGCTTTGGGTTAAAACTAGCTACCTGAGCTTCCATCTGTTACAATAATAGTGGCAACATTAAACTCTGAGAAATCATAGGCTGAAGACCTAAAAATAGGACCTTTCTCCTTTTTATAATAGGGTCTTCTTTTCAGCTACAGCTTTCCTTCTATGTATCCTGTTTTTATGTGATGAGTAACGAAAAACCCTATTCAAAATAGAGAATTATAAACCTGTTTAATGATAACTCCGAAAACAGCCAGTCTAATAATTACACGAGACTATTAGATTACTTATTTATTTTAAATTGAACGACAGTTGGTTTTAATGCATCGTTGTAAGTATAGCGGACTAACTGTTGGTGACTGTCCACTTTCATTTTTATTGTCGGCGTAGAGATGTCAGGTCCAGAAATGTAAGTCGAGAGACCGCTGTTTTTGGGTTGTTAATAACCATTTTCTGATGATTCCCACTGGATGTAATTCTTTTTTATTTCTTCAGATGTCAATCTAGTGATCCTGTAGTCGAGAAGAAACGCAAACCTAACCGCTTAATTGTCGATAGTACCATCAAGGATGACAATTCGGTTGTTTCTATGTCTCAGGTAAGCAATGTGTCATAGCGCTTGATAATTTCAGGCCAAAATGGATGAGTTGCAGCTGTTCCGCGGTGATACTGTATTCATCAGGGGCAGGAAAAGAAAGGAAACCATCTGTGTGGCACTGCCTGACGAAACCTGTCCAGATGACCATATTCGCACAAACCGTTGTGTTCGCATCAATTTGCGGGTGAAACTAGGGGATGTTGTTACAGTTACGTGCTGTCAGGACATAGTATACGCAAAACGTATCCACGTTCTGCCTATTGACGATACTATTGTTGGTCTTACTGGGTAGTTTGTACCTTTAGTTGATGTATATTTTTAGAAACTTGTATGAAGTCTATATAAAACCATACTTTTTGGCTGCCTATCGACCAGTGCGGAAAGATGATATATTCATTGCGCGTGGTGGACTGAGAGCTGTTGAGTTCAAGGTTATTGAAACGGATCCATCACCGTACTGCATTGTTGCACCTGACACCATTATTCATACGGAAGGTGATCCCGTGAAAAGAGAGGTATGGATAGAGTAACTTCAACTTTATACTTGTAGGACGAAGAGGAAAGGATGAATGAAATAGGCTACGATGACATTGGAGGTTGTCGTAAACAGTTAGCTCAAATAAAGGAGATGGTGGAATTACCTCTTCGTCATCCCCAGTTGTTCAAAATCATAGGTGTGAAACCTCCTCGGGGTATACTCCTCTACGGACCTCCTGGTACTGGTAAGACTTTGGTTGCTCGTGCGGTAGCTAATGAGAGTGGAAGCTTCTTCTTCCTCATTAATGGACCTGAAATCATGTCAAAATTGGCTGGGGAGTCGGAGTCTAATCTGCGAAAGGCTTTCGAGGAAGCGGAAAAAAACGCACCAGCCATAATCTTCATTGACGAGCTAGACGCCATTGCTCCAAAAAGGAAAAGACTCATGGTGAGGTGGAACGCCGAATTGTCTCTCAGTTGTTAACTTTGATGGATGGTCTTAAGCAGAGAAGTCATGTGATTGTTATGGCTGCTACGAATCGACCCAATAGCGTTGATCCTGCGCTTAGACGTTTCGGTCGTTTTGACCGTGAGATAGAGATAGGTATTCCTGATAGCATTGGACGGTTGGAGATTTTACGAATACATACGAAGAATGTACGTCTTGCTAATGATGTCGACTTAGAACAAATTGCCAACGAGGCACATGGTCATGTAGGAGCTGATTTAGCATCACTGTGTTCTGAGGCTGCATTGCAACAAATACGAAATAAGATGGACCTTATTGATTTAGAAGATGATACGATTGATGCTGAAGTATTGAACTCGTTGGCCGTAACAATGGATGATTTTCGCTGGGCTTTAGGAAAGAGCAATCCTTCTGCACTGCGTGAGACAACGGTTGAAGTACCTAATGTAACATGGAATGACATTGGTGGTCTAGAGACTGTTAAACAAGAGCTACAGGAACTAGTACAATATCCGGTTGAACATCCAGATAAATTCCTGAAGTTTGGTATGACTCCAAGTAAAGGAGTTTTGTTTTATGGTCCTCCCGGATGTGGTAAGACTTTGCTAGCAAAAGCTATCGCTAACGAGTGCCAAGCTAATTTCATCAGCATTAAAGGACCGGAACTGCTGACTATGTGGTTTGGTGAGTCGGAAGCAAACGTTCGAGATATTTTTGACAAGGCGCGACAAGCAGCACCATGTGTTCTTTTCTTTGACGAACTGGACTCCATTGCTAAGGTAAGTGGTATGAGGTTTTATCAACTGGTATCACTAACCAGCCTCTAAGGTAATAGTTTCTTGGTATACCAGCCATCTAATGACAAAATGAAAGTATTGCTAGTAATTTCTTCAGTATTGAGGATATAAGAATAGAGCCTGAAAGTATTCGGTAGCCCAAGTTGTTAGTCTGGTTATTTATAAAATTAAAGGTGTTGCTGTTATCGATAGGGCTTCCAGTCGCTAAGATATGTTGCTAGGCTTAAAGGCCTGTTACCACTTACTACAAATATGATTTATTGGTGAAGTTCGTCGTAATGCATCTCGGAAATTGGCTTGAGAACATGCATTGTGGATAATTAACTCGCATGTCGAAAACATGGTTGGTGGCAGGTCTTCTTCGGTAGGTATGACGTGAGTGTAATCATCTGTTCGCTAAGTGGTTTCTTCACAACTTTGTTGCGTAAGTAAACTTCAAGATGTAGTGAATCAGAAGCTAACTCCCAAGATATTTAGACGAGACTTTCCTTTGACAAACTAAGTCCCATTAGAGTAAGTGGAATGGTGTTGGTACTGACCTGCGTAATTACGACTCTAACCTTTCCACCTAAGAGGAAATATAGAACTTGAACAAATAGAGAAGTGCATAAATTGGTGCACATGTGCTTCTGAAGTCCTCTCCATAGGATACATTTGCACTATACTATTTAATCTTGAATCACGTGGCCAGCTGATTCCGTGTCTTAAGTAGGTGTCAATCACTGCACTTCATATCCTATATATGCACATCAATAACCCAAGGTATTGCCCTTTGCTTCGACAGAAGACAATCATACCATAAAGAGTGAAGAAAAAGCTAAGTATTATGACTAGTTAGATGACAAATTCATCTACCCTACTGCAACTGATTTCGGACCGAGCATATCTGAAGTACTTAAGGTGGCTATTATCGCACTGGTCTTTTAGGTCGCTATTTCTTCACGACCCCGTAAAACAGTAAGAGGATTCATGCAACTAGTCACCCGTAATTGTCTTTATCGTAATTCCGCTTCAGCGAAGTGCTTTTAGGTATGCTTTGTGCTAGCTACCCATTACTTTTGCTCCAGGTTTACCCTGCCTACGGTCTCAGTACATAAGCATTCCACTGAAGATAGCAGTCAATATACCAGGAGTATTTCTCACGACCATGATCACAATGAGGCTACAACGACCCTTGGTTGACCGACTCACAGGTATTCACGTTTACTTAAAAATTTAGTCCTCAGGCATTTATGGGACGTTGGCTACAAAACCACTACGAGTGCTGCTGGAAAACGAGAACACCGAAGCCGTGTTCAGTGAGAAGTTGGCTAGGCAGTTATTAGAACAAAATACTGTCACTCATCCAGAAGAAGCTTGGTGCCATCTTCAGTCTGCTGTAAAAGCAGCACTGAAGACTGTAACCGACTCCAAAATAGTGGCTAAAAAGAGCCAGTGGACATCAGCAGCTTCTTCCGAACTAATGGATGCACGTGAGTGCATCCCTGCAGGCTCTGAGTACAATGAAGAGCCAGCGCAACTTGAAAATAGACTGATGAAAAGTCTGCGCAACGATCGTGAACAATGGTGGGCAGTGAAGGCTAGAGATGGAAAAGGCAGCGGCGATCGGTAACAGTGGACAGTTATTTAGACTTATTAAGCAGACTGGGGGGAAAAGATCAACAACAGTTAGTGAGGCTATAGCGGAGAAGGATGGATCTGCGATTAACTCGCAGGGGAGACGACTGGAACGATGGTCAGAACACTTCGAGGAACAGTGTAACTGGCCTCCAGCCACCAATACGTTGCCCACTATCCAGTCGGATCCTGAATGGAACATTGAGATAGGCTCCTAACACTAGCAGAAGTCGAGAAAGTTGTAGCTAACTTGAAACGAGGAGGGGCAGCAGGACCAGGCAGACTAACTCCTGAGGTATACAAGGATGGTGGCAGAGTGCTCTTAGTCAGGTCAACGAAAGTGTCAACTAATATGTGGAAATCAAATACGATCTCCTCTGACTGGTCTAAATCACTGATTATTCCAGTCTCCAAGAAAGCGAGAAGTCCTCTTGTGATAACCACAGAGGAAACAGGTTGATGAACATAGTGTCTAGGATTCTAGGTTCTGTAATCATTAGACGACTGAGTAGAGCTCGGGAACAGCAAGCCATAGGAAATAAGGCAGGCTTTAGACCCGTCCGCAGGTGTATTGACCAAATATTCACACTGCGTCAGGTTCTGGAACACAGTCACCCTTACCGACGCCCGACAAAAGCTGTATTTCTCGACCTGAAGGCGGCATTTGACTCCGTTGATCGAGAAGTCTTATGGCAGTGTCTGTCACTGAAAGGCGTGCCTAGTAAGTACATCACCTTATTGAAAGCTCTCCACTCGAACACTTTTAGGCATGTTAGAGCCTATGGTGAGTTGTCCAGTGAGCTATACTCACCAAGTGGTGTCCGTCAAGGATGCCCACTATCCCCATTCTTATTTAATTTTATCATAGATATTCTTATGGAGGTTTCCCTCTCGTCACCTAATTACAAAGACGTTGACCGGATCACAGGTGAATTTTCCTTAGATCTAGAATATGCAGATGACATAGTCCTGTTAGGTGAAGACGCTGACAATATGCAGAGTCTTCTGAACACTTTGAGTGGAAATTTGAGAATGTTTGGGATGCGGTTCTCACCACCCAAATGCAAATTTTCGATCCAGGACTGGTCTTCAGTAGTGCCGTGGCTAACATTATCCTCATCTTAACGCCTTACCGAATCTCACCATTTTATCACTCCTCTTTCCTTTCTTCTCGTACTTTGTTTCTTTTGACTGCATTCACTTATCTTCGTCCTCCTTTTACTTGATGAACTGACGGGAGGTGTGGCAACTCGGACCGTTACGCAGTATTGCCCGGTCCTATGTTGATAATGATGATGATCAGTTGTATCCTTTTAGTATCTTCTTATCCGACCACTTTATCCTCAAAAGCCACTTATAAGCTTTGTTATTAGGAGTAGACTCTTCACACTGTTGTCAGCTACTAATCGGTTCTATTTTATAATTTATCTCGCTGGCAACGAACCTGGCTTGTGGAAAAGCAGTAAAGTTTTAGACTGGTGGTTTCTGTGAACATGAATCATTCACAGTAATAGTATCGTTATTTTCACGATTTTGGCTGCAGACTGTTTGAATGGGTTCCGAATATTTTCTTATGTGACGAGTGTTAGTGCATTGCAAAAATCTTGCGAATTCCCGTGTCTATATATCATTCTTCTGAATAATGTTATCTGCATCCCTAGGCCCGTGGAGGTAGTGTTGGAGATGCTGGAGGCGCTGCAGATCGGGTTATCAACCAACTCTTAACAGAAATGGATGGGATGTCTGCTAAAAAGAATGTGTTTATCATTGGTGCAACTAACCGTCCGGACATTATTGATGGGGCTATTTTACGTCCTGGAAGACTTGACCAACTTATCTATATCCCGCTACCAGATGAATCCTCAAGGGTTAACATTTTAAAGGCCAATCTGCGTAAATCACCGATCGCCAAGGTAATTCATTATCAGTACATTGTACTGTTTTAGACAAATAGTAACAGTACACCATGAGTTGACATCTTCGTATTTCCTATTTACTTTACCAACTTAAGAAATGAGAACTGAATTCGCACTACTTATTGTATATTTTCTTGTAGGACTCGAAAGCGACGATGAGCTTTGTCACATTTTTCAACGGCGCTAAGAGAACTAAGGGTCGTCAGATTAAAGTAGATAGGGAAAGAGATATAGCCATGTTATAATAGTCTGTTGTAATCAGTCATATATTCTCTTTTCGCTTAGGTTCACTGATATGTACCGCTTTGATGAATCAAATAATAGTTTTCCCCAACCATCTGGAGTCTACATGCACGAAGAATGAAGCCAATTACTAAGTGGTAAGAAAAAGCTGAACACTTCAGATGGTAATATGTAAACGGGTTATCAGATGTATTCCAGATGCATATCCCAGATATTGTGCATGTTAATACGTGTAGTTGGCCAGAATGATGTGCATGTATGTAATTTTTTTGTGGAGTGACTTCAGCATTTTCTACTTAATGCCGGTACGGCATGGCTTCACGAAATTGCACCAGCTGCCTGATTATCGTAATACAGTGTTTTATTTTAAGAATTAAGATGGGGCAGTATCATTATTTTCCTGGTAAGTTCGCAGTTATATTCTGAAAATTAGTGTAAACAAACGGGTAATCTGGTTTGTTTCAGATCGTTTCAAGGTTTTCAACCATCTTAGTAACCCCAATTTGACTTGAAACCTGGAGCATAACTCGCTTCCATTTCTTGATTTTTTGGGGTGGACGATATATTGCGATTCTTTTTCCCCACTTTTTCTACAGTTAATCTGGAAAACGAATTTATAGTAACATTTTTCAGAGATATGTTACTTTACCTTTACTTAAAATCTCACTTCGCTACTATTTCATATCTCTTGTTAGGATGTTGACCTTAACTACCTGGCCAAAGTCACTCAGGGATTTTCGGGCGCCGACCTCACTGAAATTTGTCAGCGCGCATGCAAACAGGCTATTCGGGAATGTATTGCGGCGGAAATAACTGCTGAACGAGAAAGAAAGACCAAACCAAATGCTATGGTAAGGTTTTTTCCCCTGTATTTCATACATTTTTAAACACAAAATAAGTGTCTTGTTGATCCAGAATTGCTTTCAGAGCGTTAGGGCGATAAAAATATTTGCGTCTACTAAATTCATCCTAATATTCATAGTGCTCGGTTAACTATTTCGAACAAAAATCTCACACACCAAGCATTAAGTTGGTTCCAAGGTCATCTATGAAACCTTTTCACTACTAGCACACACAACTAACCTTTTACGGAATTTGGGTTTATAGAGTCTATTTCTAAAGGTTGTGCCAAAAATAAACGTATTTGAGTACGAAGTTAATGTTCTAAATGTGCGATTCTGTGGTACGTTTTCAGTTCTCCTAACTATGCTGGGACAAACATTGAAAAAGGGATTTCTTTTAAGGAGTGACTTTTAGGATTCGTAGGTAGCAGTTGCAGTAGGTTTTAAATAAATAATGCTTTAATCATAAAAATCTAGTCGAGTGATCTTACATTCATGCGTGAGACCCAATTTTCATCAAATAACCTTGGAACCTCATGTAAAACTGCATCGCTCCAGTTAATAATTCAGAGCAACAAGAAAAAACTGATTATTTCAGGGTTATATGGAATTAGAGGAACACGCCAAAGAGCTTAGAAAGGATAATAAAATGAACCTCAGCCACCATGCTTATTTTCGTGCAGTAGGCACTGAGCCACATTTATTATATGAGGATTATCGGTGAAACTGTCTGCTCATAAGTGAGGAAAAAGTCGAACCCCTGACCCCATTTTGTGAACGGATAGACATCAGCGTAGAACTTCTCACATAACTCCATTGGTTGAAGTTGCCACAGCAACATTTAGGTGGGTGGTGGTAAGCCAGTGATTTAGGTGGACAAAAGTGTACTTTATGAGAGAAAAGAAATGAGTAAAGGTTAGTCAGTATGTTCATAATTTCGAAGATGCCACTGATAACGTCTGCACTATTGCGACAAATGTTCAGTCAGAGTTTCGAACTAGCGGTTGCTTTTAAACCTAGTCATCTGTCGGTTCTAGTCCATTTAGGCTGAATTAGACAGCCTAACATTGCTTACTAAACGGTTTCAATATACACACTTGTGGTGAGTCGTCGATTTCATATCGTATGATAAGGAATAGGAGGTTATTAGTTTCTTTGCAAATAAGAAAACGTGCATCCAGAACTTCATGTTGAGACATCATTAACTTCTGACGCATCAGAACTGATGCAACTCAAAAACAAGTGAAATAATCAACCCGCTTTGCTCCCCTACTCTTAAATGTTTGATCCTGACAAGTTTCTGATGGTTGGTGTACATTTAACAGTTGAGAAATGTATAGCCTGTCTGAAATCTATAATAGTGTTGACGTCTTCCCACGGATCTTTTTAATCTGCCTACTGTTTATCGCATGAAATCTCTTCGGTTATTGGGGTGTTTCCCATGGTGTTAAAGGCAGAGAATTGTTTCCGCCAGTGTGTCTTTCAAATACGAACAAACCAGAGGACTAGTTTTCTTGTTGTCATGTTTGAGTATCAAGAATGCGGGAGTTTTATCTGACTGTGAGGTGGGGTGTGATAGGTGGAAATGCTACGTTACTATTTGCCAATTCTTTTCAGTACATCGATTGTCTCTTTTCAGCAAGTAATGTAGCCAAGCATCGTGCAGCAGTGTACCAGTTCCACAAACCACTGCGTCGGTTTTAATTCATCTTATGGATTATTTTCAGATTCTTTATTTCGATAAATTGGGACAAATCACGAGCAAGTTTGTATGGTTCCTATATAGTTCATGAGATACTAACGCGTCTATAAAAAGCCTTTACTTGTCTGCAGGTTTACGAAGTTGGTGGGCATCCTACTTCATCGAATGCAAGTTGTCTCCACGCGATCTGTAATAAGTATCCATCTATTTCCTTACTGACTATTATACCTACAAACAATGATCAAAGTAGGATGTCACTCTTCGTTGTATCTTGATTTTAGGGATCCACCAGCAGACTTTTATCTCACTTTTTATTTCCTTCGGGCAATTGATTAGATGTAACAGCGTGAGTCTTAATTGGTCTTACAAACTTGAGTATCCTAAGTCTCGTTAGTCGGTATGGTCGTCAAGTCCTGCACTTTGTCGGACTTAGTATCATACGTATAAAAATACATTCAATTGTTAGACCAAATGCTTTCACCAGCAAATTATGATGAAAAAAGTCGGTTTATTTTTTAGGTTGCACGTTGTGAATCGTGTATACTTGTAAATTCAAATGACTATCATTTACATGTAATTTTAGCATGTACATGGATGGAAGGGTTGTATACTTATTAGACCCAAAGGATTTCTAAACAAAACATTGAAGTACTTCTGAGCGAGATTAATATTCTATTCAATTTTTAATTTCTTAACCACTTTCACTACTGGTTAGACATGTCCAAAGTTCACCACGGTTTCCTGAGCTTCTTCATTTTTCCACTGCAACATTTAGGAAGATGATAGCGATCCGGTACCAGAAATAACACGACATCATTTTGAAGAAGCTATGCGTTTCGCCAGACGTTCAGTTACTGAGAACGATGTGCGGAGGTATGAAATGTTCGCACAGACACTTCAACAGTCCAGAGGAATAGGTAGTAACTTCAGGTTAGTACAAATACCTTTTTTTCACAACAGAATACTTCGAATATTGATACTTTTATTCTGTAAATTAAGTAGTACATCAGTGAATACTGCCTAGAGGAAATTTCTTCCTAACTAATAAGATTTCATTTCACAATATTTGTATTATCCATCTGAACTGAGATAGTATGTGAAAATCTCTACAGGACTAGATTGAAGTTCGTTTAACTTCGATTGATTCGCAAATGAAACAGTTACTTTTTCTCCCAAGTATTAGAAATTCCACGAGATCACAGAATCTACCTTGAAGCGACATTCTTTGCTACTTTTTCAGGTTTACCTTACCTATGCAGTTTTTGTGAATGATTTGAGACCTAATCAATACTCAAGTTCGTTGCGTACAAGTAATTCAATCTTTAACTTATGATTCGTCACAATCTTGTCTCTCATCATGTGGAGACTATGCTAAAAATACTTAGATCTAATTATGATACCAAGTCTATGCATATACCATTCTACGTGAAAGGCAGAATTATACACTATGAAGTTTTACTGTTTGCAGTTTTAATTTTCTCAGTCCAACCCATGTCTCAGACCGCAAAAGTGCTTAGATATTCGAAATAAGTGACACAAAACATGATTAGGCACATTTCAGTCCGCAGCGTTGTTCAACATTTGAAAACTGGAGCCCCATATTAGGTTTTTCTGATTGTAATTTTAATGAGCTTTTTGCTTATTATCCTCAGCTTTAGCTGTTTTGTTTACCTAGAGACTCCATTCTCGATCATATAGTCATTGGTCACTGAAGATATTTCGGCCTGCGTGACAGAATGACATAACCCTTCGCATACTAATTCTAGCTCATAGCTTAATTCAATAACCTTTCCCGAGTTGAGTAATATTATCAAATGTTTGTCTAACAAAGCTGTACAGTCATGGTGCTGAGTTTATCAGACAGTTTTCTGAGAAATGGTTGGTGAAATTGGTCAGACAACACCTTTTCATTGTTGTGAAGTTTTTCGAACTATCTTGACCGCAATAGAACCAGAGCTATAAAGCAAGGAAAAATATTCATTTTTTTGTTCAGTCTCGTTTTTCATGTATTGAATTTTTTGAAGACCGTACAATCAAGGGATTTGTACTAATTCGGTTTATCCACTAGGCACATCCTACTAGCGATACCCAAAACGTAGGTGCTGTGTTGGTGGATAATTTTATGTTGATTTGTTTGTCTCATATTTCACTGTGTGGATTAATGATATTACTGTTTCACTGCCTTAAATATTCGACGAACAAATTGACAGGAAATATAACACGCAATGGCCCACTATTCATAACTAACATATGTAATCTGTTCATTATGTCACAGGTTCCCAGGATCCGATGGTCCCGGAGTGACACCCACAGGTCCTGGTGCTCAAGGTGGAGGACCGACGTATGGCGCCCACAATGATGTGGAAGATTTATACAATTAGAAAATGTTTATACCCTTTAATTTTTCACCAAGTACAGGCTATCTGGTGTCATATGTACCTGGTTTACGTTCTGACAATTCATAAATATGTGATTGTAGGTGACACCAAAATAACCAGTGTTTTCCCATGCATTGTAACGCGCAGAATTTTTACCTGACATAAAATTTAAATACATTTATCTCATGATATTTACTTTTATTCAGCTTACTTTTTGACGTGTTGTGGTTTAATATTTGAAATTGTTTTATTTCTGCGCCTCTATTACGCTCTTTGGTAAGAGATCTCGTGAGAAATTCTTCACCAAAGGTTTATTCTGATACGTATCAGGCTCTGAGATTTAGAAACAATTTAGTGGTAGTAACTTCTCGTCGTTTTCCAAATTATTTCTATTTGATTACAATAAAAACTAAGCGTTATCCTTCGCTTCGTTCTTAAAGGTTCTTTATTTTTCTTTGGTTCCTAACCAAGTAACATGTTAACCTGTCTGTTTGTCTCTAATGCAAGCGACTAGCAGTTAAACAGCTCCATCCACTGAGTCCCTCCGAATCTACTCGTTCTTCCTTTCTCTCTTTTGTTGCTTCTGACTGCTTTGTTAGTTGCGCTGATATGATATGTGGCCGCTGGAACCGTTGTGCAGTGATGCTCGGTGCTGTGTTGATACTAATCACGATGTTCTTGAATACTGGTATAGTGAGTGATGTGTCGTACGGTTTTAAAGGCAATCATTATCAGAATGAATATTTTGCACTTTTTAAAATGACTTTCAGTTGAGCAATGTGAGAGGAATTAAAGGACCTGGAAATACGATTCTAAGTGAGGTGCTCATTAGTCGTATGCAGAGTCATATCAGAAGAAAGTTAGAGATTATGCAAATATGTAATTCCATCAAACTCGGTCTTCACCTTTTCAGCTGGAATGATACACTGCAGATAATTTTTCCTATCTAAATGGTTATATACATGTAATAGAGACAGCAACGGATGCAATTGGTTTGAAATGAGATTGCATTTCGTTCCTCTAGGGCGAATGTATATTTGATATAGGGACTAAAAGTTTAGGGAATCATCAATAAGTCTCGAAAGGGATTCCTTCGGAATATCCGGTAAGAAGCTGAAGTTAAAAATATTGAAGTGCATGAAACTCGTATCATTGATGAAGACCCCCCCAACACTTGCCGAGGTCGAGAAGGCTGGAAGTAACCTGATACGAGGGTTAGTTTAAAGTATATTGGACTTATCTTTGTATGTAGATGATATATGTTCTAGATTCTTAAATGTTTCATCACTAAGCAAGGTGATTGCATCGTTAACTTATTTATGAAGAATAGCAAACATGACATCTTTCGTCTGTCGTTGTGTTTAGGTTTGAGGATGACACATAAAGCAGTGACTGACAAAATCAATGTAGAATCTCGCACACAGGTGCTCCGGCTCAAGTTGCCACACTTCACAGTAGTACACGAGGAACGGATGTATAGAAAGGGTAATATCAAAGTAGTGTGGGAAAATAAACAATCTGAAGATGAAGATAGGTTCGAATATCCAAGCTTAAGTGTCACGGAGTGTGTATATCTGCTCCATTGTGACAAATTTTCAGCTATATCACCGAGAGTGCTCAAACTGGTTCCTTCCGGAAACCTCAATCATTCAGTCCCACATCTGATACGGCTCAGAAGAACGATTAGGAAATTCATCTGCTGGTGCCACGTTTTGGTGTGGCCACCATGAACACTTCCAGCCTAATTACAACTTCCAATATCCATGACAAAAACTAATACAACTTCACCAAGCATGGTACGTCGTGGGAGGCGGTAGCTTGACATGCGCAGTACATGTCCAAGCCATCTCAGTCGATTGAGGATCACAACCTCATCAATTGACTTACCTGTTTCCTCTAGTACTTTTCACCTGGTCTCAAGATTGCTGGCACAATGATTCAACCAAACATGAGCAATGCTACGTAAAACAGTATCTGTCTTTTTGGTTTGTCATTACTTTCTGAGCATGGTTGTAGCTGGCGACCACCGTTATCCGTTCCTGCGGGTTCGGATTACTGAAGTGCCTTTCTACTTAGCTTACTTACTGGCTCATTAAATTCACCCGCCATGATATATACATTTAAACGTTTCACTAGATAGTTTTCAGTATAACTGATTTTCCACTTCATCTACTCTCCAGTCAAGGTATGCCTAACCAGTAAGTACAGTGAAAAAAACGAGTTGTGCTTTTTTTCGTCCTGCATTGCACCATGACGGTAACTATCTTCAGCCTTACCACTACCTAACAGGCCTTTCCTGGGACAGTAGAACCTCAAGAATCAGTCGTCCCAGCCGGTATAGCTCATTGGATCATTGCAATGAACAAGCCTAATTAAATCAAGGTAGCACCTTTTGGCAGGGTTGGTAACGGGTCATATTATACAAATGTATTCTAAAGAAACTACTGAATAAAGCCTTATTAAACTGCTTAGAAAGTTGAATGTAGTTCTTAATGCAGTTGTACGCCAACACCGTGGCATACAGTGGATTATAAATTTAAAACAAAGCTGTCACAGAAGAAGCGTCATAAAAAATAATATAACATCAGTAGGAGGGAAAATGATGGAGAAAGTAGAATTGGGCGGAAGCAGAAAAAGGCATTCGACGCCTGTTTTTCCTCTCAGTAGTAGGAAGCCCGGCCGATTGCTGCTGGCTTGACGTGCCGGTCAGGCCTGTGTATCACAATGAACCAACGGGCTACGCTAACTGAGGCGCGTGTTCCCTCGAGGTCTGTTGGATAGTGGTTAGATGGAAAGCAGATACCATTGTAGTGTAAATTGGCACACTATGACGGGGGACCGAGGGCGAAGTCGTACTGGTGGCTGCACAAGGTATGACTGTAGTAAGATGTTTCCCTTGGATGACTACCAGTGCCACCGCACTGGTACTGCTGTGGCGTAGTGGTTCAAGGAGATGGCTATCAACCGTTGGGTCATGGGTTAGAGCCTCACCCCGCTTATCGAGGTTTGGGAAGCCTAGTAGTATCGCTAACCCTCACACTGTAGGTATGGCTCATTGACTTCTGCACGAATGTGCACAAGCTGACTGAGGGCATTTCTTGAGATAACGGGGTTGAGAAAGGTTGATTCTAAAGATAGCACACCTTCCTACCCTAAGGTCTTCCGGCACCGGTGGTACAGGTTTTCTCTATCTGGCGATAGAACAATCAAATCTCATACCAAAAATCTTCAAAAAGTTGTGTGACAAGTCCTAAGCAGATGTTGCACGGGCTCTGCAGTCACACGAATCTTTTTTTCCTTAAGGTGCCTTGAGAAGAAATAGACTTCCGCGGTGTGAGTGACCGGAAAGTTTCAACCACCCGTACCCTTCCAGTGGTATGGAAGACCAAATCAAACATAACACATTCTCCTCAACTCTATCTCTGCCTTCACTCCACCCCTGGAACGAATATTAAGCTTCTTACAACTTTCCCAATATCTCATCCTGTGACCATTGCCAAGGATCATAGCCATCGAAACACCATTGCTAGTGTCTCCTAAAACCTGGTCACCGATTTAGTATTGGGGCATTCAACTTCTGATCTCTATACTAAATTGGTAAGCAAGTATCGCTCGTCAGAGCTCTTGTATCTCAGACCATGGATGTAAGCTGTATTTCTATGACACGTATCCAGTGTTTGAGTGTGGTTGTTGAATTAAATCACCTGGCTACTGTAGTGAGTCTTCGAAATCCACCTTAGGTGTATTCGTGAACTCTTTGATGTAGGCATAACATCAAGTTGTCGAGCAGGAAATCCAGTTCTCGACTGAATACCAGTAAACAACCATTTGTGTTCTGTTTGTCTGAATGGCTCTGTAAAAAGTAGGATAGGTTGTGAGACTGGCTGATGCCTATCTGTAGTCTGCACCAACCGACTACCGATCGGATGATGGATTCTATGAAAAGCTGTCAATTCTGTTACAGAAAGCATAGCGTTCAGACAGTCATATTGGGAAGTGACCTCGACACTCATGTAATGGAAGCTGAGCCAGTCGGAAAGGCTTTTCTGGGATATCTAGAGAATCCCATGTCAACGAACCGACAACAGTGATCGTCTTGCAGTTTCGACGTGACAGTCACTCGCTTCTGACTAGCACTAATTCTATGCATAAGGAGAGATATGTCTCCATTGGCATCCGCCGACATCGAACCAACGGTGGTCATATTGCCATGAGCTATCGTTCGAGAGGATTGCCACTGTGTTCGGGTATCTCTGGACTCTGGCTACGGGCTTGTCTATGTCTGCGCTTTACTGGTGTCAGGAAACAAGCGATAGAACAACATGTCTATGCTAGATTGGGAAATGAGGACGCCAAGTAGGTACTTAGGGAGGAGACAGTTAAGCGTTTACTTGAAAGTGATGTTAATACTGGTGTGCTGTAGAAATAGCAGTAAAAATAGTTGGTAATCTACACCTAAAGGTTAGCGAACGTCAGAGTATGTCCGTAACGTCATCCAGAGTACCGGATGCAGGGAGACTGACTGACAACAGTCAAGTGCGAAATCAGCTCGAGTAAACTGACTAACAGTCTCCTCGATGACCGCGAGCAGTGGTGGGTGGCGAATGCGAGAGAGATGGAAAAGGCCTAAATGTTAGGTAACACCCGGCGATTATTTTGGTTTATTAAGCATATTTACAAAAAGAAGACGACGGTTAGTGAAACCACCAGAGAATTGGTTGGAACACTGATAACATTAGAGGACAGGTAGAACGTTGGGCGGAGTGACGGAGTTACCAGGTAGTGTATGGGAACCAGAGGTAGTGCTGTCAGACTGGTGAATTTCACCGGTTATTTCAGGACGATAGAAGAATTAGTTTTGCTAATATTGTGTCCAAGATCCTAGGGTCCACAATTATCCGACGCCTAACTACAGCTTAAGAACAGCAAACTCGAGAAAACCAGGTAGAATTCTGACGTCAACTAGGGTGGGTCGATAAGATTCTCACCCTCCGACAGGGCCC